TTCATTCTTCTGCATGTGGCTGTCCAATTTTCCCAACAGCATTTGTTGAAGAGACTGTCTTTTTTCATTGGACATTCTTTCTTTTGATCAACATTGGTAGTGTCATGGTAGCGAGAGCAGGCTTCGGCATCAGACTCTGCCACTAGGTAGCTCTGTAGTCCAGTGCACAGGAATTAACATCTCCAGGCCTCAACTTCCTTGTCTGTGCAATGGGGACAATGTTCTTAAAGGAGATGTTGCAAAGCTATAGGAATAAAGGAATGTAGAGTATTTACTCACCACAAATGCTCAACAAATCACAGCTATTTTTTTTATAGCTCTTTTATACTGTTTTCAATTTATCCAGCATGCTATGTATCTGTGTACATCAGAATCACTTCATTCTTTAAGTAAGCCCTTTCTCAAACACATTTCTAGAGATTTTTTGTTAACTAAGAAAAGAAAATTGCTATTTGTGTGGGATTTTAAAAAATGTTTCCTTCTTTACCAGCAGTGGCTGGAAGACCCGAATAAAGCCCACGGAGATTCCTAGGAGGAGAAGGAAAACATATTCTGGGTTGGTCTTCTTTCTCAGTTGTTGAGTATTTCCTTTTCCCCCAATCTCTCTCTCTCTCTCTTCCCCTCTCTCCTTCTCTTCCCCTCTCTCTTTCACTCTCTCTTGCAATCTCTCTCATCTACTCTTCCTAATGTTTGAAGTCATTAAGTACCTTTACATCTCTGACACTGTAAAGTGCTCTGATCATCTATCACACATGCATCCTGAAAACCAGTCCTCCTTTTGGTGCTAGATGCAGTCCAGGATTTCAGGTTTTTTTGTTTGTTTGTTTGTTTGTTTGTTTTTTAAGATTTTATTTATTTGAGAGAGAGAGCAAGTATGAGCAGGGTAAGGGGCAGAGGGAGAAGCCAGACTTCCCGCTGAGCAGGGACTCCAATGCTGGGCTCCATCCCAGGACCCTGGGATCAGAACCAGAGCCGAAGGCAGACACTTAACCAACTGAGCCACCCAGGCGCCCCGATTTCAGAGTTTTTTTTAATGAGATTTTGCTGTTTCTCCCTCTTGGTTAAAAATAAAAACCTATCTACTGAATGTGGCGAGGAGTTAGCTCCCTACTGCCTGTGTGATTTAGCAGTACAGAGCCTCGTCACATGGCCAGTGTGTCCCTCTGGGAGCCCTGTCCCTCGGCCCTTAAGGAATTCAGCATAAACATTGAACTGGGAGTAGAAGGGACCCTAGACTTTAACATGAACCATGTGGTTGTTGCCTAATTTCATGGACATCAGTTTCCTCTTCTGACAAATACAGAAATATTTTCAAAGATTCTCTTGCCTCAAGGAATCTATGACCTC